AAAGATAGGTTTGCTACCTTAGTCCTATCGCCATCTGTTCCAGTTGATGCCTTCAATAAAGAACCATCAAAATTTGCCTGGGTTGGCTTGGTCTTGCGTTGTCTTATTATCCCATAGCTAAGCAATTTATTAGTTAATCAGAGACTTTAGCCTCGAATTAGTCACCCAGACGCAGGGGACGGCGAATAGCGCCTCGAGTAGCACAGATGGAGTGGCAGGGGTCGAGTAAAATACGTGAAGCAGGGATATAGCAGACGGATCTTACTGAGCAAGAGAGACTGTGATATGACCTAGGGAAGAATGATTGCGTAACAATATGGCAGAAATTGTGAATAGCCCAGGATAGAAGGGGAGATACCACAAATGTTTAGCACACGTTTGGTCAAGGCTTCGTCTTCATTTGTCTCTTTAACGGGTTGTAGTTTGGTGCTAATATTGTCAAGACCCACTGACGATGACTACTACGAAGCCAGCGAAACGTCTGGCATTGTACCACGTTCACGATCAGACTTTGGAAATAATCATGCATACAATGGACTCCGGACTAGGTGCCTTCCTCTAATCTTCCTACCAAAATGACCAAGTTGCGAATACAATGTCAAACAACCTCTATACAACGAAAGGAGACTGCGACTACACAAAAGGCACACTACCTTGGTCTTCATACCTTTTATTTTGTATAATGCCCATTAATTTTTTTGCTTTTTTTCTGGTTGCTTGTTATATTTCGGTATGTTTTCTGTTGATGAATTTGCCTACACAACTTTGGGCACAGAATAATTTCCTTAAAAAGACCCATTTTACATCATTTTAAATAGGCGCTTCCTCGTCCACCCTCACTCCATCCATTAGCTCACGAAATCACTCTTATGGTATTTTAATTTTTCGAATTTGAGTATAGTTTCGAGGCTACCAATAAATCAGTAATATAAGATGTATTCACCCAATTTCGTTTAAGTTGATGAAGGACTGGTAGTAGAATTTTTCCACATTGATATGAGTAGAGCTGAAGTTTACATTGAATTTCACATAGCCTTGCTTTTCCTAAAAGTTGTTCTCATCCAGGATGTACTGTAGATTCGATATCGCATCGGTCTTATCAACACCCCCAGTGCGAGTCCAACCGTGACAATGCAGAATGGGAGCTTGACATGTTAACCACTTGGCCACATTTCCACGTGTGCCATTGAGTCACAGGGCAAATGTGAATTTCAAATATATACGTTTGCTTTATCGACAATCCCACCAAAGAATATGATATGGCAAAAGGCCTGGCCTTCCTTGAAATTCGCATTTGTCCTGTGAACCAAGGGCACTCGTGGTAATGTGGCCGAGTGTTTAACGTGTCAGGCTCGCATTCTTCATTGTCACAGTTCGACTCCCGCTGGGGGTGTTGATAAGACCGATGCGAGGTCGAAACTGCAGTCCACTCTTGATGAGAACAACTTTTGAGAAAAGCATGGCTATGTGAAATTGAATGGAAACGTCAGATCTACTCATATCATTGTTGGAAAATTATACTACAAGTCCTTCATTACCTTACATGAAATTAGGTGAATGCATCTCATATTCTTTTTATTTCGTTTTCTCAATTCCGCCTTGCTTAACTATTGATCGATCTTGCTTTTCAATTGAGATCTCTCTTAATTGCTTCAGTTCTCCCAGCTTGCGACTAAAGGCATAATGTTGCCAATATTCATCATGCAAGCTTGTTAATCATTGCGGATGCTGATTAAGAAACTATCCCACACATACACTTGGCTTTTATCTTAAAAGTCTGTCTACATGGGTGACTGCGCTGCCTATACCTCCGATGACCAAATGTCTACAGTGCCCTATTCATCCAGCTCCTCATTTTTTCCACATCTTGATCAAAACTCATGGAGCCACTGTTCTAAGGATGCAATGATTCAAGTAAATCGGCCTGATGCACGTGGAGACTCTACAAATTCAGATAGCAGCCAAAGATTTGGTCTCGATGATGCTAATTCCATTAAAGTTGCGGCGAGCCAATCAATGAAACACATAGTTTCTACTTTGCCGACTGATAGCACTTATCCTGATGCCTCGATTTCATCATTCTCAAACAGTATGCACGTGTTCCTTGGCAGTCCTGACTCTGCAATACCTGCCTTTTCCAAGCGCTTCATCGGCCTTTACCAGCCTCCTGCAAAATTGTCCTGTGTTCCGCCTTTTTACCCTCCCAAAGACAACCGATCGGATCGGGTTTTACAAAGCGAGCGCCTACGCATTTACTTTCAAAGACTGCCCTCGAGTTTTTATAATAATGCCTATTCTCTCACATTATCTTTAAAGAAAGCCAAGCTTAAGCACGCTAAGGAACCATCTCTTCTTCTCGTATCAGAAATATCTACTCCTTTGCCTTCCCGTGCACGTGTTGTGTTGGGTAAAAGTATGAATTATGGCAAGGTAACGATTAGGCCAGATATAAGACATTCACATTCAGTTCGGTATACTCAGACATATGGAAATCTGAAATCCCATATTCTCTCCGAGGCTCATACCCTTATGGCGTTTGGCGAACAATTTTTCGAGAAGTCAGTTTCTTCCATTTCTTCCTCCGACTGTGGAGAATTCGGTCAGTCTAACGTTAGCACTCTGACAGCGAATCGAGGTTTTTTCAAAAACTATTTGAATTTGGTAGAGGACGCGCGGATTTCCATCGGACTAATTGATTCTAACAACCAACGCTCATGGATAAGAGATGAATTGGCTAATGGAATTTTTGATGGGCATACTCTTCAAGGACTTTGTCATATTCCACTCAAGACAGAGTCATATGGAATCAGTCCACAGGTGACACATAATTCTAACTTGTATAACATGCGTGTATGTGATGGACATGAGCGAAAAGCTTCTGAACTATTCTCACCATTTGAGTCGTTTGGTTCAAATTCTGAAAAGATCCTGCTTGAACGGGGTCTTAATGATGCTTTAATCGACCATCCATCTAGCCAATCATGCCTAAATTTCGCGGCAGTGCCATATGTCCAGGACAATTTACTTCCTGGATCTGTCGAATGTTTGTCGCATTATCGTCATCTGGCTGACGAACTTCACGTCTTAAATGAGGACAGTAGCCTCACCTCGACAAGTATTCTTATGCAGGACGCTAGCTCGTATGTTCTCCCTTCTGTATGTCAATATCCTCTCCACGAAACTATCTACCAACTGATGCCTGCTTGTCTTTGCAAATCGCTGTTACACTCACCTACTTCTTTCCAGGAGTCATTAGCCAGGAATATTTCGGCATCCACCGACACCTTGCATCAGCATGTGGAGCAGTTGAACGAAGGATTAGACTTCTTCACTTATGCATCCTTTAGTACATCATCAAATAACACTTCAATATTCCCTCTTGAGCCCCTTAACTTACTTCTTCCTCCAAATTTTCATCTCTGCAGAGCACCAATTACCTGTGACTCCATGATGCCTTTGTTTGTATTAATTGAATTTATGTTTGAACCATACACTTATTCTCTTCAACCTTTTTGCCATCAGTCGGCAACTTTTTTCACTTCTGAATTGACGAGCATCGCTTGCTTCTATTTAGCTGACCCTTACATAGAGCCTTCTAACGAGGCTCTTAAAACTTGCGATCTTCTGGATTCAGATTTTCTACTAAACTCTTCACTTGCTAAACCATTCTTTAGTCGTTGGCAATATTGGCAATGTCCACCTACTGGAGTTTGTCACCAACATTCGACCTCTGCTGTTCTTTCAAACTTATGCAGTCGTGACCCTAACCAGGACTGCCCAGCTATGAATCATTTGAGGC